TTTCAAAGCCTTAGATCTCCTGGATTTTACGTTGGAATCCAAAATTTGTTTGGGGGTCTTGGTTAGGGCTGCATAAGGAAGCTTTGACAAGGATTTGAAGCATAAAACAAAGATTGAAAAATTCGCCTTGAAAGTTTGGGTTTGTCTCATTTCCTGGAAGGGATGTTGCTGGACAAGGTGGTGCTGGTGAAAGACCTGGTCCGGCTACGCTGCGGAGCTCCACGCGCATTGGTGCTTTTCGGGCCGAGAAGCAGTTGCCGCTTTCTTCTCCTTGCCTTAGCTCTCTGTTTCTCCCCACCATCGTTCCACGTCGTTCCCGAATGTGATTTCATCTTCCGGATGACCGGCCTAATTGCGTGATTAAGGAAGGGTCTTTTGTTCGAGATCAGTTCGAATAAATTCTGTCAAAGGCCTCACCAAACGCGGAAGGTGCCACCATCGAATCAAAGGTTGAAGAAAAGAGATTTTCAAATCATGGAAAGGCCTACCAGAGAGCGAAGCAAGCTGGGACGACTCTGTGGCAATTTGAGAAGCAGATCAACGAGTATCTACACGGCAAGTCAACGAGGATCTGAAGCCGAGGCGTATCATCAGATTTGACTAAGAAGGAACTGGAAGTGAGACGGTCTTGCGTAACGCAACAAGAGTTTTCCCTCTATCATCTTCTATCTGGTAGACTTGATGAAAAGGCCCTAGCGATGCTTCGGGGCGAACTGTAACTAGGCGCCTACTCCTACCCCACCCACCTCACACGCAAGATGCCTCAAAGGATAACATCTGGAGTTTGGATACTAAGTATCCGAATCGCACAATGGTGTGGGACTTCGCAATGCCAATCGAGCCACGATAGGAGCTCCATGCATGGAAACGTGTCAATCGACCCACCTCAACAGCGAGACCGCATCCACGACTGTAGCTACCCTAATATGCCCCACTCCTAGTAATGAATTTGACACCTAGTAATTAATGAGCCTTTTTTTTTTTGGATGAACGGCCAACCCAATCCATTCTTTTACTTGGACCGCCCGATCACTACCCGCTTCTACCGCATTATATCATGGTTCCCTTCCGGCTGATCGATCGGCTAACGAGGATGGGGGGATGGAACTGGAATAACCACAACTGCTGGGAAACGACCATCCATTCCGTCTATTATTGGGGGGGAATCCGCAGGCTATGCAACCATTAAGTCGGGTGGTGGGGATCAGTTGACTCAATGAGAGCCCCGCCTCCTCTTGTCAAGCACCGGGCCCGAGGGTTATAAGACCACCTCACTCGCTCTTTGGCTCGCTTCGTGCTTACGCACTTCTCTCGCTCGTTTCGTTCCGATCGGTTTCTCAGGGCTTTGCTCCCCTTTACAATATGAAGAATTTTCTGCCTATAGAAAAGATCATGAAAGAGGCGATCAGAACGGTACTCGAATCCATTTATGATCCCGGGTTTCCAGACACATCACACTACCGCCCGGGCTCACCGAATGAATAACATTTATCGATCAAATCGTCAATTCGCGGTGGTTTTAAGCGTCTTTGCCTAACTAACTCGTTCTCGCAGACACTCTCGCTGCGCTGTGTTTATTAGGCTGCCTAACTTGTTTTCGTTGACCGTTACTAGAATCGAGCTTAATCTTGGGCGGACTCATGCAGTCCGCTAGAACTCGTAAAGAGCAAAAGCCAAGTCCTATGCCCAAGGCGAGTTTGAACGCTGATTTTAACCAACTTTGATCAATACTGAATTGTACTGCAGGACTAACGAAGAAGAAGAAAATCGATCAATCGTACGGGGAATTCATTCTTATCCATTGCCTAGACCAATGAGTCAAACCAGTCACGCACCACCAGTTTCAAGCTAGGTCGGTCGAGTCAAAAAGTTCGCCCAGCTACCTTGGAGGATTTTCTTAAGAGAGAACAAAAAGAAAAATTGCCCAATGTTTGGGCTTGAAATCCATTTTTAGTGTCCATTTAAATATTAGTTCATTACTTCACTCTGAAATACAAGGTTTTACATTAAAATTTCATTAAAGCATGCTTTGGATAACCCGGTCCAATTCTTGATGTGTGTGGACTAAGACCCGGCCCCCATCATTT